AATACAATTACAATCCCCCCCCAAATCTCTTCCCCTGATCAGCTAGTCTGGAAGTTTGTCACTGAAGCAAGCTCAAGGTGAAGCTTAAGTTCTTCAGAGACTTTGTCATTTACTACTATTTATTTCTCTGAATTAATGAATGCATACAAAACTCATGTACAAATTGGCCTCCATTCTTTATTAGCATGTTAAACTTTTTTCCCTCACATGTTTCTTGGAAAATATTGGTACATGAGACATTTTTTTTGTCCCTAAATTAACAAATAATTAATACACATCCACAACAGACAAGACAAAGCAAATATATAGACATCCAAAGGTTGGATATTTATTTTTCATTTAACACCTTCAGTGGCCTCCCTACAAGGCAAGAGAGATTCATTCAGGATTTGAGGTGGGAATCAATACTTACAAGAGCAGAGGATCTAGAGAGCTCTGCTGCATCTGTGGAAAAGATGCTTTTTACACCAAGGTCAAATCCCAGTGAAATCTAAGGCAGTCTTCACATGAGTTAGGAGGTTGGGTGGCACAAAATCAAAACTCTGGCAGGAGCTGCTCTTTAATGTCCTAATGCATAGTCCTGAAGCAACAGTCATGAAAGTGCATGGCCAAATGAAAGAAAAAAATCATGCTGGGTAAAGACACATGGGAACTCAATAAGAGCCATTAACCAGCATGGTGCACAGCACTGGAGTGGCAGTGTACTGGTGTCCAGCATGACAGCGGCTGCAAGGAAGCACTGCTCCAACATGGTGCCCCGGGGGCTGAGCCCTCGGCCGTGGGGCAGCTGCGCTCCCCAGGGTGCACTGGGCAGAGGGGTGCAGATCTGGTGCTCCCTGCTCTTGGACAGAGCACGCAGGAAAATCGGGAGAAATTTCTCCCAGGGAAGGTGGGAGTCAGACACCATCTTGAGTCTAAAGGGGTAGATTTAGAGACACATTGTTCACCAGAGGAAAGGCATGCATTGGGGCAGTTCAACGGTTGGATAGCCTGTTGCAAACACCTATGGGTCCATCTAGGCACAGCAGCAGCTCACACAAGTAACTGTGCGTGTTTACCTGTCCAAGGCATCCCTGCACCCACTCGTTGGTGCTGAACACCTGCACCTCTCCACACCTCATGGTGATGATGGCTTGTGGGCTTTTTCCTTCTCCTCCTCTTTGCTCCATGGCCCCAGGGAACAGGCTGGCTTTGGCTACGGGTGCTGCTAGTCACATACAGCACCACCTCTGACTTGGGCTGCCCAGCATGCTTTTCCCTTTTCCCCATGGAGCGGCTCGCCCCGCCCGAAGGCG